CACAGCTGTGTTATTGTTGATCTATGGCAGTCTCTTTCTGAGTGGCTTCTATTATTGTCTGAAGGTGTTTTGGCGTGCCGTCAAGAGAATGTCGGAGCTCAGAACAATAAATGAACATTAAATTTCTCGTTAAACTTGGCAAGAGTGAAATCAAAATCGGACAGATGTTAGTGCAAGTTTATGGGGATAATGTTATGAAGAAAACAGTAGTTTACATGTAAGATTTGAGGCTTTCATGGCAGTGACTATGAAGAAAGCAGTCTTCTGGGATTTGGCACCATGTATATGTGGTGTTAACCGACGTTTCGGAGGAACGTATCGCCTCCATCTTCAGGGTAGAAGAAAAAATATAAGAATTCTGCAAGCGGAGAGACCGTGAGAACCGGTAAAAGCAGACTGTGTGGAAATACACAGCTATGTGAAAGCAGAGAGGGTAGGGGGGAAGGGCAAGTATACAAGTGAAAGCAGTAGTGTGGGAGGGGTAGGGGAAGGAAGCTGGGACAAGCGTGTTTTTGTGTAGGGAAGAGAAAGGCAAGGTTAAAGGCTGGGCACTAATCCGTAAGCTGAGGGGGGTGGGGGTGGTTGTTATGTTGGTTGGTCATGGCCTGTGTGGCCTTCTGGATCTGGCGTCATATCCCGGTGGGGGTTTTCTAAGAGAACAGATGAGAGGTTTCCAAGACTTGCTGAGACAAAAACCCCCCTCTCTGTTCATATTTCCTGGATGCAGTTCAATCTCAATTGCCTCCCTAATGATGCGATCCATATAGCGGGTCTTGGTGGCGAGGATGGAGGTATTCTGAAGCTGAATGCAGTGTCCCAGGTCGATGCTGTGTTCAGCTACGGCCGACTTGTCCGGTTGTTCGAGACGGATGTGCCGCTGATGCTCCTTCAACCTCATGTCCACGGAGCGGCCTGTCTGCCCAATATAGACCTGCCCGCACTCGCATGGGATACTGTATACACCCAGTGTCTTTAGGCCCAGGCTGTCTTTAACCGGCCGGAGGAAATTGGATAATTTGTATGGAGGCAGACCCACTGCTTTGATGTTGTGTCGGGACAGCACTCTGCTGATACAGTTGAATATGGTCCCGACATAGGGAAGGAAGGCGACCGAGCCCGGTTTGTCTTCAGGCCGGCTGATGTTGAGCCGACGGTTGAGAACTCTGTAGATCTGCCGGTTGTTGTATCCGTTCTTATTGAATACATCCTTCAGGAGCACCAACTCCGCATGTAGGCTGTCTTGATCACACAGTGCTCTAGCCCTGTGCACCAATGTTGAAAGTGCAGCTTGCTTGTTGGAAGGGTGGTGGTGGGACGCAGCGTTAAGGTACAGGTTAGTATGAGTGGATTTGCGGTACAAGATCTGCCGGTTGTTGTATCTGTTCTTCTTGAATACATCCTTCAGGAGCACCAACTCCGCAGTAGTTTACATGTTGGTGACACGATTTTCTGAGGGAAGAGAAAGTGTCACTGACGAAGAAAGATCAGGATGACCAGCAATGAGCAGAACTGAAGAAAACACTGCAAAGTTCATAAAAATTGTGTGAAAATGTTGGTTGACTCACAGAAGCAAGCAAACATGGACAGAAAAAAGTCAGGGAAATCTTAACTGAAGATCTTGACATGAGGAAGGTGTGCACTCAAATTATTTGCTCAAAAAGGTCCTTTCGAAGGATTGAAAGTAGTTTTCGCAATAATAATAACCAAAACGAAGAATACACGGTACCTAAACCCAGAAGACGACTTTCTTCAATAATAACCAGAGTTCCTGCCTACAGATGCAGAAGTCCCGTGAATGATTCCCGGCACTACCAGATTTTCTGAGAAATACTGGGTCTGGAATGAGGTCCACTCAGCCTCGTAAGGATAACTGAGGAGCTACTTGAATGGAGAAGTAGTGATTGGGTCTAGAAAACTGAGATTAACGACCACGAGACACCCTCTATCCAAAAAAATACTGGCACTAACTTCGCCCACACGCAGCAGTCACTCAGTCACTTGCAGACTAAAACCCATGGAGTTTTTTTTTTAATAATCAGAATGCAAACATGACTCAACTTCACATAACCCTAAGTTACATATTACAATTATGAGAAGAAAAATCTGCAAGGTCTTATCATTATGACTGTCTACATTTTGACAATAACTGTTCATGTCTGCTACATACTCAAACGTTACCTCATACACTTCCTCAGTAACATGCGGACTAGAATCCTTTCAGTGTCTTCAGAATGATATTTGCAGACTGTACACAGTGACATTTCTTGTGAATTATTTCATTATTACCAGGTTTCAGAGTATCATGGCATCATTTTTACTTGGGGGGGGGGAGACAGTAAGCTTTCAGTTTCAAAATTATCTATCTTCTTTTGATGGACGGGGGATTACACAGTTTTTAATATGGGCACAAAAATCGGAATAAACACAGGATGAGAGACCATGTGCCTTCTTTGCTACATACAAAATATTTCCTTTCTGAAATAAAGGCTCACTTACACTATGTACATGCAAACAATAAAGTTGTCCCTTGTGTGTAACTAGCCACCATGTCACAAGGACATACAGAAGAGTGGAGGTACAGCTCCATGCATTCATAACACCAGCGCTAGATGGAGGTGAGAAGTCAGCTTCATACCCTTGTAGCCCTAACCTGCAGAAAGAGCCCATTACCCACTAGACAGGATGACTGGGTGGGCTCCTGAGCTCATCCGGAGAGCAACAAGAGAAAGATCTCTGCCCCATTCGAATGAAACCAAAATTCTCTAGTTATTCAGCTGGTACTCTAGTCATGAACTAATTATATGTGCTAAACCATGCCCGCTCTCCAATCAGATGACAGAAACTCCAATCTCACGTAGCAGACACTGAAACCACTCATCTCCCATTTTGTTTGAACTGATTCTCTTCTTTAAACATGTGAAACTGGAGCAGATAGCAATAATACCATGCTCAATCTGGTTTCCCATCACTGCAGAGATGATGTTTAAATATGTGTAACAGTAATAATATCCAACTTCCAAGCTTCCAGTCAGCACTCCAATACTTCAGTCTAGCTCATTTCAATGATCCTAAGAGAGAAGACCATTTCTCCATTACACCTGACACTAGAAACATGCCTGGTTTCCAAAATTCTTTCTGCATCAAATACACTTAAGACAAGGGACAACCATAACCTTCCTATAATAACTTAGCCATAGTCACATGTCTTCAGATATTATCAGCAGTTTGTGACAAATTCTGACACAATAATAAGTAAGTAGCATCTCCTTTCTCTTCATGCAGCTGATGCTCGATCAGAGCAACGGCCTCCTCTCTAACCACAATGGCTATCGAAATCATACTCGAAGAATGCAACAGGACTCTTTAGATGAGGTCTTATAGGAATCAGAAATATCTGCTCTCATAGCTGCTGTTAAGTACATGATATCAAATGATACAGTAACATCTGTACACTGGAGGCAGATTATCCTTACTTAAGACTGGTCGTTGCAGCCGTCACAGCACTCTTCTCACATAAACCTGTGGCAGTAGCCAATTAACTCACAGCCCACCTTTCTGCTGTAGTTTTTAACTCACCTTACTTTGCAGATGAGTCTCAAGGCTGACTCTAAGCTTCTAAAGGATACCTCACATTATTATAACCTATACACAAACTGTGCCGTTGCATTATCTTGTACAATTCAAAATGTCTTCCTATCCAGCACCAATCCCATAGAATGTAATTTTGTTACAATATTGCAAATCACTGCTTCACATAACATTGTACAGCCAGGACACTTCTATGAAAGAAACTTTCTGTGACACTTCCTCCATGACAAATGTTGTACAAAGATATTACATATACTGCTAAACACTACACTTCATTTCTGAGCACTGTACTTCACAACACTAAAAACTGTACTCGTATGCATTTCAGCACTACTGACATAGCCATTAAGCGAGTTTGGCAGCCAGCAGCAGTCAGTCATGGGAGAACAAATTTCTAGCCATCCAGCCTCAGGATAGTCTGCCCTCCCTCCATTTGTCAGCTTTCATTGGCTTGTGTTGCCTCCCAGATTTATGACAGAAGCTGTACTTCAATGTGATGCCTTATACACAATATTCCTCGAAATGTAAACAATGTATTCATAAGAACCCCGTCTTCTGAGATGTGGTGCCATGTAGTTGTTGTGTGAACAGACTTTTTGGAGCCTCCATCTTCAGGGTACAAAAATCTGTGAGTGTGGAACCAGCATGAGCAAATGGCTAGCAGACTGACCCACAAGTTGAGAACACCCAGCTATATAAGAACAAAGGGAAGGAGGACAGAGAGTGGGCTACATGGAATCAACAGAGGAGAGGGGTAGGGTCAGTAGAGACCAGGTAGGCCAAGCAAACAAGCAAGTACCAGAGGGCGGGCCACAGAAGGTAGAGGAAAGTTGTCAGGGAGAAAAGGCATGGCGAGCATTGATTTTTCTACCCTGATGATGGTGACACGCTCCTTCGAATCATCAATTCACACAAGATCTACACAGCACCACATCTCAGAAGACAGCACTCTTCATAGTCACCAATGTGAAAACCTCAAATCCTACACAATGTATCGATAATGTCACTTCTTACCTACTAATAATTTCTATGTCTATAATGAGCTTGTTCAGAACTGCCACCCAAATAATATGGAAGAAATCAACCAACCAACCAACCAACCAACCAAGAGATCTGCTTCCATCAATCTTCACAAATAACCCCTACATTTTCTTCATAGGCACTGCAAGCATGCTTATACAACAATGCGTTTTATATTCTATGCATATCAAATGGTTTAGATCTATGCAGTTGATCTAGCACAACAAAACTGTCTATGTGAACTAGATATAGTTCCATAAAAAGTAGGTAAGACCTTGCAAAAATATTTTAATATTACAGAAGAGTTAGAGAATGAGGTTATGGAGTGAATAGGTATAGTTTTTTACTCTCCCTGCAGCAAGCAGTATTGCTCATCATGCAACGTAACGTACACTGGGCAGTCTATGCAGCAACGAGATACCCACTTTCGCCATCTGCGCCTGAACTCCCTTTGCCTGGAGTGCTTTAACTGCAGACTCGGCTGATGCTGGAGTCTCGAAGTCCACAAACCCATAACCTGCAACAGTTAACCCCATAAAAAAATAGTCACTAGCAGCACCAAACGTAATGCAGTCAATGCAAGATACAAGTGAAAATAATCCATTAAGTTCTCAAGTCTACCTACCACGTTAAAGGGGTAGTATACAAAAATTTCACATCCAGCTAGACTAAATGTAACACCATCTTGTATGACCACTCAGCACTTTTCAAGATATATTAAAAATAAAAAATCAAGAAAAGTATATAACACACTTCCAAATTCAGTATCTACAGCAGAACTTTCATTTTATATCCCCTGCTTTTAGGTGTTCCCTGATTCAACATTCAATTTCAACGATGCGAAATCACTATTTAATTTCTTTGCTTATGATTCTGTTCATCACTGTACAACAAATATACTGAAAAACAAAAACTGGCTGAAGCCATCTTCGGCTGTTTGTGTGAACTTCTGCCTATTGTGGCTGTGTGCTAAAATAAACTCTATTTTGCACTATAAAATTATTTACACTTCAAATTTTCATATATTCATTCTGAACGTATGCTACGTCCTTCCCAAAGATATAGTGTCATTCTGACAAGAGTTCAGATAAAATAATGACTGATGTAACTTCACTGGGTTCCACTGAAGTATACTACACATATTCAATAAATTTCACTAACTTCCTTTGTTTGTAAGGAATATGATCTTTCAACATACAGTGGACAAAACTGTGAATTCTGCCTACTTCCACGATATCCCAATGTGAGTGGAACCTACAGGGATCATTTTAGTTTTCACTACAAGTCTCATTCATATTACTGCGGTTAGGTGAACTTCTGTGAATGCTGGCTACTTGAGAATAAAGAGTTTCTGTTTTCTCAGGCTTTAATGTTCCTGTAATCCAAATGTACATACATCTATTACTGTAAAGCAAACCAACAGTATATATATATAAAACAGGGAGAGAGAGAAAAAAATCTGGTGCTCTTACTTGTTCAGTGAGCATACTAAGTAAAATCATGAATACAAAGTGTCACTGATCACCTGTAACACATAATTACAGACCAATGAAACGATCATCTTCAAAAACTGCATCTAAGGATAGGAAGGAAATTTCAAATTCTTCTGTTGATTTTCAACAGGCATTTTCACTGGCCAAATTAAATATATTATTTTTGTGATCTGAGGTTCTCATGGCAGTGAATATATTAAGACTCTTCTGGGATGTGATACTGTGTAGGTTTTTAGTATATGGATACGTGTACCGATGGTTTAGAGGAACCTACTGCTGTGATCTGCAGGATAGAAAACCTCACATATCCCTGCACCCACTTTCTCTTCCCCCATAACCATTAATCCGCCTAACACAGCTTTCTCCTCTATCCTGGATGATGGTTGCAGCAGGTTCCTCCAAAACATTTACACACATTAACAACACTAAATGCCATTACATCTCAGAAGACCAGGGTCTCTGATGCTCACTGCTGCAAGAACTTCAAGCCGATGGTTGCAGCAGGTTCCTCCAAAACACTGATACACATTCACAACACTAAATGCCATCACATCTCAGAAGACCGGGGTCTCTGATGCTCACTGCTGTAAGAACTTCAAGCCTCATATGCCTGCCAATTAATTATTAAATCCTATACAAGGAAAACTTGACATACTGCCATTTTGTATTTACCTGTGACAGAAGTTTAAATTTGTGACCCACCCACTCAATATTTGACTACTCTACTTATTAATGGCCCTAAAAGTTGATCTCTACTGTGGGGGGCAGACCATAATATATATATGCTCTTGAAGGGCAGCTATAACTCTCAAAGACACACTCACTTTATACAGGTCTTCAGATAAACCTAGCCCTAATGATTAGCATCCTCCTTTTAACCCTTCAAGAAAATAACAGTATTTACCTGCTTCAACATAAAAAAAAAAAGTTAATTTGGTTCGGTTTATTTATGGGTTTCACATGGTTACCAAAATAAAGACAGCATTTACCTAAACACCATTAAAAGACTGGTACTTGTAACTGAAATGCAGTGTTTTCTCCTACATAGGAACCGAAATTTGTATGTTTTTAAAGCATGTGCACACATAAATGTGCCTATTAACCCTGTCATGTATCACAGTGTCTTGTCCATCTTTCCACATGCAACAGCTACTTAAGAACTGTTGAACAATTTCAATTAAATCTGTGACCAAATGAGTTTCGGTGACATCTGTAGACACATCGGCACCCATCTTCAGCTTAACTTGCTGAACATTTACCAGTGCTTTAAACAGAAGTTGCAGAAAAATGACACACATTTTTCAACATATTGTGACATGTTGACCCCTACCTCCCCAGCTGCACGTAGCGGTAACGTAGCGCTCGCGTAATAGGCGAGTAATCACCCCGCATCCTGGTAGCTAGCAACGCGCGGTGACGTCACAAGCGGAGCCGAAGTGTGCCGAGCGGAGCCGACGTTAGCCGAGTCCTCGCAACCTTGAGGCTATGCAAAGCGAATCAACAGCGGTGACGTCACCAAGGGGTAACAGTGTCCTCTGCTATAAGCCACGTCACACTAGTAACAGCGTCCTGGAGCTACCGCCGAGTGAGTCCTGGAGCAACCACCGAGTCAGTCCTCGAGCTACCTCCAAGTTAGTTCCGAGTTAGCCAGCAACCAGTCAGTTGTATTGTGGCATTTGGAGTGTACTATTTGTGATACTGCAGATAGCAGTAATCGTAAATCTGTATTTTGGGTGATTGTAAGAGCGAACGTGAAATAAAATTCGCTACATCAAATACATCGTGCAGTTATTTGTCGCGCTATACGGCCGATACGCGACAATATACACTTCTTCTGTACCACTTGGTTCCCAAGATAATTAAACTGAAAGAAGGGGCATGCACCTGAATTACTATGCTATGCATACATTTCCAAAGTTCCTAAAGATCAATCCATAAAGGGGATAAATAACTGGGAGTCTGTATAAATGAAACTTAAAATACATTAAAAACATACCTTTACATTTATTTGTATTCTTGTCTAGTATGGCCTTGGTGGATATGATGTTTCCATACCTGAAAGATTAAAAAAAGGCATTAACACATACATTCACAATTACTGAACAATCAATATTATGTTTTACAAGATACAATGTGTAAAAATTAGAGATTATCTACACTGATTGGTGGCAGACACACATGCGAAGTGTGTGAAAAAATAATGCTGGAGTGAAGACGTGTGATCTTGTACGAGACCCTGCTGTTATCATAAATGCAAAGTTGTCACTATGCACCCCAGCAGAAAGGCATAATATGGGGGCAGAATGGAGGTAAAGATTCAAGTATTCTTAATCTTGAAACTGATGCAGGTGGTTAGCTCCACACCCTTGCCAGTTTACCTCCATGAAAGAACCCTGGTACCCACTGGGCTGGAGGCTGTGTAACCTCCAGAGCCAACCTAGAACCTGTATGGAGAAGACACACGCCTTTGCTCTTGCTGGGAATCGAATCCGTAAGTCCTTGATCAATATACTGAACTACTGCTGCTAGTACAGTGACTTTTACTTCCAATGGTTGCAGGAAAACATGACAAAGAGTATTCACTACCATGCTGGGCATTTTTTTTTTCCTGATTCTGTAAACATGATGTGTGGTGTAACAAATCACGGAATGCGCTCCTTAATAAATTTGAAACTGTGTCTTGTTCAGTCTCTTTATCTGTACATTTCTTTATTTGCAGCCAGACAACTGGCTCATAGACAGCAGCAAAGTTCTCAGCCTTACCCACCGACTGTCAGCCCTTTTATCCCATTAGACTCCTGGTACTCATTTCTGTTGAAGGCTGAGTCAACCCCAGGACCACAATGTAGTTGGAAGGATTAAGTCAATTAAAAATCCAATTACATAATCGGGAATAATCAAACCCACAAACTTCTGGCTTGTAGCAATAGCCTATACCAACTATGCTACCACATGACCCTACCTGGTATAGCAGAGATCTGAAAAAGTTAAGTGATAGGGTGGAACTATCTACCTGCCAGCCTCAAAACTGATAAGCTGCAATGACATACTTTATGTAACTGTTTTACTTCAGCAAAACTTCTGACGATGTTGAAACAATTAAGATAAAAATTCAGTCTTCCATGTTTCTGTACATTTAAATGCTGTCCCTGCTGCTCCTCCTGCTATGTATTTCTTACAGGAAACATTCACAAACGCCTGGAATGGATATCAGGACATCTGCAGAAGTTCCACGAATAATCATGCTGGGCATGTATCACTGTCTGAAGCGCATCTGACACACACATAACGTTTTGGAGATGGATTAAATCCCCTTCCATCATCCATCACCCAGTGATTGAGCTGGTCTCTTGGGCTCAACTAAGCAGAACCCTCTGTCCTTTGCAACATTTCAAACAGGATTGAGTTGGATCCAGTTTCCAAAATGCTCTGTATATACCAAACACATTGGAATCTACGTAAATCTGAATCAACATAAATACCAAGTGGCTTATGATAACCCATCCACATACATGTATGTGTACACACAAACAGGCACCTCCAAAAATGACACACATAATCATATTATTTAATTCCTTCCAGTAAAAATTAATTCTTGTGAAACATGATATTATGTGTTAATGGACCTGACTCTCTGGGAGGTGAAAGATTTATCCTGGTTACCACTTGCGCCACAAGCATTGCATTTAGATTAATGTCAAGCAGATATAAATTGTGCCTATAAATCTTCTGAATAAATAATTTTACTAAAAAGACTAATTTTTTATTTGGAATTCTGTAATCCAAATGATTTGGTAGTCCAAACACACAACTGCTTTAATTAGTTTTGAATACTGGGGCTGCACTGCATACCTCAAAAAACAGCAACCAATGTCCAACATAATATTTACATAAAAGAGTCAACCACTGTCACAAGCCCTTGCAGAATCATTCACTACAAAAGGGGTATACGTATTTTGGAACAGGTGTGTTAGTCTCACCTCTCTAAAATAATTCTCACCACATCAATATGCTGAGGAAATAAACTGTGTCCACATATTTTTACCTCTCAAAAGCCTCTAAACTGAAAACCTGGGATAAGACTAAATGTCCATTGCCTCCACGTTTAAAATATAATGGTGTCAGAAGCAATATATTTCCTCTGTAACATTAATACCCATACCTGACTATAGGGTGTAATAACCCAAAGGCCAGAATATGAATATTGATTGGTCTTCATTCTGTGTTCACAGAATCTACAGACATTTGAAATGGGTGAAATTTTCTGTTTAATCCAAGTTCCACTGTAAATAAGTTACACTTCATTCAGCTATCAATTTGCAACCATCACATACTCACATTGAACACATCTGGACCAGGTCCTTGTCTGTGGTGTTCTGGTTCAGGCCACGTATATACAAATTAGTTTTCGACAGCTGTTCTCCAACAGGTGCAGGTCCCATGTTGTTGCTGAGACTGGTGCTCAAAGTTCCACTCTGAGAGCCTGTGTTGGAACTTGAACTACTGTTCGTGTTGGAGGGTGAAGCTGCTGTAGGAACTCTCTGAGATCCATACTGCAAACACAAAATGAGCAGCTTTAAAAACACAACACACACATCTGTGTTTCATGATTATTAATGTCCTCCTGCAAAGATTATGACTGTCCTCCTACAAAGATTATGACTGTATTATATAATTATATAATATTATTATATTATATTATATTATTATATTATAATATTCCGCTCCTCCGTAAGTAAACCCCTTACTCAAATGGTTATAGTTAATCAGGATCTAAAAACTAATAATACATGCTTTAAAAGACACATGGCATTTAAGTAGACAGTTCAGACAAAACTTGACACTTTCTTCAAATCTACTTGCATTATTACGTTCATAAACGAGCACAACCTTTCAACGTCTTCTGTTGATGAACAAGTGTACTGTCTTTCACAGCTTTTAAAAAAAGGTTCTAAACTGATATTTTATTTATTTTCATCAGAACTTTATTTTCCATTTAATTGTGTCTAAATTTTTTCTCTCTTTGGGCCCTTTTGCTTCACCAATCCGGATTATGACTTAATCTAGATGACCTCACCAATTACTCCAGATTAGAAAGTGTTTACTGCAATGATCTTTACAGTCACCACCATAAGAACACCAAACCTCACACACTCACTCACTATGGAGTCTATAATGCAACATATGCAGATTTGAAAAACTATGAATTAAAGAAAGCCAGGCTACTTTGTTCCCTGTCCATTCTTCAATCCTTAAAAAAAATCACACACAAAGACGTATTTTCATCAATGTTGTGAGAATCTCAAATATCACGTCTATGACATATGTCCAAAAAAAATTTTCATTCACTGGAAAAACGTGTAATAAATTGGGACATCACTGTTCCCTTCAAGAAGGTATGCAAAATCCGGAGGCGGCTTTTATACAAGTACCAGTAAAAAATTTTTTTGCTAGTGGGGTGGACTATGTCCCTTGTACTGCGGCCACTTCTGGCCTATTGTACCAGCCCCAGGTTAAGATAGGTGAGGGTGATTGTGAAGCAATTTGTGAAATGAATATTGGCTGGGGAAACCGAAGTACTTTGAGAAAACCCGCCGCAGCGCCACTATGTCCACGACAAATCCAACTTGACCAGACCCGGGATCGAATCTGGGTCGCCACGGTGGAAAGCCTGCGACTAACCGCTTGAGCTATGGCGCGGCACTATACAACTAAATAACTTGCAGAATTTGTCTTGCAACACAACGTTGCATCTTGTTTGTGAAGCTTACAAATGGTTATAGTGCAACCTCACATGGACTTTATTCCATTATGACAGGAACATTTCAGCCACTTTTAATGGCCTCTTTATGCACGAAGTAGTCTGAGTTGCACCTCATAATGGTCAAGTAGCAGCGGTAGAAACATGTTGCAGAACTGATCATGTCTTAACGGAATAAATATGGTTCGTGTGATGACCATGATCGATAGAATCTGGCATGATCTCTGAAGGACACTCCAAATCTTGACGCATCATTTGTTAAAAAAAAAAAAGGCCATTATAGAGAGACATCACACACCTTAATATTAAATCTCTTCGCCTCATGCCTGAAAACACCGAAGAGCTTCGAAATATCCATGTTACTCAGCTTCTCATAACCAGTTAACAACACCGAAGAGCTTCGAAATATCCGTGTTACTCAGCTTCTCATAACCAGTTAACAACACCGAAGAGCTTCGAAATATCCGTGTTACTCAGCTTCTCATAACCAGTTAACAACACCGAAGAGCTTCGAAATATCCATGTTACTCAGCTTCTCATAACCAGTTAACAACACCGAAGAGCTTCGAAATATCCATGTTACTCAGATTCTCATAATCAGTTAACAACACCGATCCCAAAGACGACTGCATATCTAGACTTAATTCATTAATCTCCCTCTCATTCTGCATCGCACGGTCCATACAATGACAGCATCCTTACATTACCCACAAAAATTCTTATGCTCATGTCATGTACCAATTTTCTAAATTACTTAGTTCACAACGGCCCTTCTGATTCCACGGTTTCATGCTGAGAAGAATCTGGATAAAAATGGCGTCAGTAAAGGTCCTGGACACACGGACACCTGTGGCGCCGGTCGAATGTGATCACAGCGCGGCATACCAACTCGTGTTTATCATACACCCGAGAAATGCTGCGTGCATTCATTCCATGGGTAACTCATTCCCATTACAGATATGCTGCAAGACTACGAATAACAAACACAGAGCCTCAAGCGAATAACGCTATCCATTCATGTATATAAGGCTCAATATCTTATCGCGAAAGTCGCTGTTTCATCCTCCACATAAGCAGAACGTGCGCAAGGTGTAGGAAGTAGGCCTATTACAAGCTGCTGACGCAGGAACTTTCGGGAACTTTCATGCGGAAAAGCGAAGGCGTTGCATGCCGGACCCTTGGCCCATCCATATTGGTAGTCTAGGGTTCACTTAACACTTATGCGTATGTATGATTTTTGTTTATTGCTAGTGGGGTGGCACTAAGTCCCTTGTACTGTGGCCACTTCTGGCCTATTGTACCAGCCCCAGATGATAGGTGAAGGTGATTGTGGAGCAGTTGGTGGAATGAAGATTGGCAGGGGAAACCGAAGTATTCGGAAAAAACCTGCTCCAGCGCCACTTTGTCCACCACAAATCCCACTTGACCAGGCCCGGGATCGAACCCGGCCCGCCGCGATGGGAAGCCAGCGACTAACCGCTTGAGCTATGGTGCGGCTCCACTCGCATGTATGATAGAAGAGTGCTCGGTTTGTTCAATATATATATATATATAATCGGCGTCAACTGAACACCACTAATAACAGTACAAAGCTCGATTTGTTCGATATATCGGGATGAAGTAAACACCACTAATGAAGGTACAGTGGTCTGTATATACATACCGGGGTCAACTGAACACCGCTAATGACAGTACAAAGCTCGATTTGTTCCATATAACGGGATCAATTGGCATGTACTGTCTTCGCTCGCTTGGAAACCGGGATAGTGGGTTCGAATCCCACTCAGGGCATGGATGTTTAGTTTGTGTGCGTTTTTCTGTGTTTGTGTACGGGTAGAGGCCTTGCGACGAGCTGATCACCCGCCCAAGGAGTCCTCTACCGAACGTGTAAGATCTACAAAAACCGAAGTGAACGGAGAAGTTCATGGAGGTAGGCCTAGGCCCACTGGAGCAGTAATGCCATATAAAAAAAATTACTGCAGAGTGGTCGATTTGTTCTGTATATATACCGGGGTCAACTGAATACCGCTAATGACGGTACAATGGTAGATTTGTTCGATACGCACCACGTGGTTAGGGGGGGGGGAACCGGAAGTGTGACATTATGGCGGTTTGGACTTTCGAAATCGGGCTGAAAGTTGGCACTGTAATATGATGAACACGGCAGACATGGATTCGTTATATTCGCACCTAATACTATTTCAATTAAATCTCCTTTATGAAATTAACCAACATTTCGCTATTTGTTATATATTAATTAACCTTACCCGGTAATTCTGAAACTCTGTTATACCATGAATCTCTAATCCCCACTTGTCATCGGAAAATGCAGTTCTACACACTGTTGTTAAGTCACTATCTATTTGAACTTAAAAAGAGTTTCAATGAATCTATCTACATCGAATGATCGAACTGTAATTAATTACTCGACGAGTAGAGTGCTAATATAAAGGGAGAAAATTGGAATATCAGTGAGAAATTTGCATTTAAAATAAATTATGGGAAAACGGGAACATTTAGGTACGCATCATTCGGAGGAGCTGCAAATCAATGGGAATAATTAGTGTAGTAAAACGGTTTAAGTTACTTGGAATCAAAAGTTCAAGAAAATGGCTCGTCTGGCCTTGAAACTGAATAAGGGATTAGTGAAACGAGGAGAAGAGTTATCAGCATGCTGAATTCAGATTCGTGGAATAGAAACATCATACACTCAACAAACTTACTAATACGCAAACCAACAATAAAAAGTATATTAACATATGTACGTGAAACATGGGTCATTAAAACGGAAACAGACATAAATTATTAGCTACAGAAATTGATTATTTTTGGCGTTCGGCAAGGATATCGCGCGAATGGATAGAACTGGAAATGAAATAATTAGAACAAAAAAAATGGGAATGAATAAAGGTATATATATATTACAGAAAGAGCAGCAATTAAGATGGTGCGGGCCACGTCATGTGAGTTGCTAGACAGGTTGCAAGGGGGAAAGGAGGCGCGACAGCTCACCCAGCACATGGAAAGTTGGGATTGCGGACAGCACGCAAAGCAGACCCCTGAAGATGAGTGTTTCAATCGAGAGCTCAGGACGGGGATAAATCACGCCTTCGGGTTGAGCAAAACTGTAAGTAAGAAAGAACGTAAGCAAAAGTATCCCTGTAACGGTCCGTAGAGGCCTACAGGGTTGTGCCATGTTGAGGTTCCCACATTTTCTAGACAATCGGCTCATAGATGGCGGCATGGCTGTCAGCCCTACGCGCCGGCCGCACTTTACCTTCAGGAATACTCCTCGTACTCATTTCTGTTAGAGGCTGAGTCGAACCCAGGGCCATGGTGCGGCTGGACGGATTAAGTCAATTGAAAAAAAAAATCCAATGACCTCATCGGGACTTGAACCAGCGACCTTCCGGCTTGTAGCATAGTCCCTCAACCAACTACGCTACAGTCACAGAAAGCTTCCTTTAATAATGATATATCTACATCGGAAAACAAACAGTTTTCTTTCGGCCACAGTGGCCACGATGTCTTCAACAGCTCGAGCGCTGGGATAATGGGCTCGAATCCCATTCCAGGCAGAGACATATAGATGTTCCTGATTATGTTGTCGTATGTAGGCAAGCCTTGCTAAGGGCCGATCCCCCTTCCAAGGAGTCCTACTAAACTGTGATCAAATTCAGACAACCGGTTCCATCGTGCCGTATAACAACGGATGTCCATGGAGTATTCATGCAGTTACACATGATTATGTCGGTGTATTGGAAAGGACGTGAAAGTTGGTGGCCCTGGCCT